TAGATCTGATCTAGAACCGTCTCTTCAGATCTGATCTAGAACCGTCTAATCAGATCTGATCTAGATCCATCCCTAACCCAAACCCTAACCTGCTGATGATGATCGGCGGTCTGGTCTCTGGTCAGCAGGGTCAGTTTGGGAAATGGTTTCCTCTGAGGACGTTTCCCTGACCTGGAGGACAGAACGTCCACCGTCCTTATGAGGACAGTTTGGCTGTGAGAATCAAGCATTTCTAGAAGGAGTGATTGAACCATGAAATCACTGCAGTAGTAAAAGCACAGAGACTGAGTAAATAACAAGACGACAGAGACTCCTCCTTAGCAACTGGCCCCCGGCCCAGGTCGGCCCCCAGATGGCTGGGCTCCCAGAGTGAGGGTCAGGGACCCGACACCAGTCTGAATGCCAGAGATGTGAGAGCAGAGAGCAGCCTTCTACCTCCAACCACATGGAAAACTTTAAATCCGTAAACAGGTGGGCCCTGAGCGGCAGGTGAGCGACGGCTAATGGTTACGGCGCAGAGCTAGAACGCCTCAGATCCCCGGAACCCTCCTGTGTCCTTGTAGGTGAAGGTCACAGGGAGCCGCTTTACCTTTCTCCTCTGGCATCGTCCTTCAGGAGCCGCTCCAACTTAGAAAACCGCTTTGGGTTTAGAACAAGCAGGAAATCCAGCTGAAATCCAAGGAACCTTCTCAGAGTCTAGAAACAGCGTTTCTACTCATCCTTGTTCTGCTCCAATGACAGATGAGAGCAGAGTGAGCGCTCTGTCCAGCACTATCTCTGGAATGAGCCGGAGGTCATGTGACTCTCACCTCGCTGAGTTATGGCAAATATCTGTTATAAATAGAAGCCCAGAGCTCCTGCTGATAATCTGTTACTGGGTGTGTCCCAGTCTCCCCAGTCTGCCGACACTCTGCCGCTGGGAAGGCTGGGAACCAGGCTCACCCTGGAAAAATTCTGCATTACATCCCAGAATTAGCTGGAAGCTCAGGTCCAACCACTGAACCAGGGAAACTTTCAGGTTTTCTCTTTTTTAATGACTAACAGCTGATTGATTGATGATCCACCAGCCAAACCAGGGATGGCAGCGTTAGTTTATTATTCACAGGAGAATAAACAACAAACCAGGAAATGATCAACTGGGTCAAAAAATAGGTTGAAAAAACAGAACTTAACAATCTGATAAAAACTTCACACCATATCACTCTCACTCATTCTCTCTCACTCTCTCACTCACTCTCTCACTCTCTCACTCTCTCTCTCTCACTCACTCTCTGAATCTCTCACTCACTCATTCTCTCTCACTCACTCTCTCACTCTCTCACTCTCACTCTCTCTCTCACTCACTCTCACTCACTCTCTGACTCTCTCACTCTCTCTCACTCTCTCTCTCACTCTCTCACTCTCTCACTCTCTCTCTCACTCTCTCACTCTCTCTCACTCTCTCTCACTCTCTCTCTCACTCTCTCTCACTCTCTCTCACTCACTCCCTCACTCACTCTCTCTCACTCTCTCTCTCACTCTCTCTCTCTCACTCACTCTCTCTCACTCACTCTCTGACTCTCTCTCTCTCACCCACTCTCTCTCACTCACTCTCTCTCACTCACTCTCTGACTCTCTCTCTCTCACCCACTCTCTCTCACTCTCTCACTCTCTCTCACTCTCTCTTACTCACTCTCTGACTCTCTCTCTCTCACCCACTCTCTCTCACTCTCTCTCACTCTCACTCACTCTCTGACTCTCTCACTCACTCTCTCTCACTCTCACTCACTCTCTCTCACTCTCACTCACTCTCTCTCTCACTCTCTCTCTCACTATTTAAAAAATAATCTTAGAACTATAAATATACAGTCAGATGTTTACATTGTTTACACTGTTTACATTTCCTTTTTTCACTGTTTACATTTCCTTTTAATATATTTATATATATATTTTGTAACTGTTTACATTTCCTTTTCCTTTTAATATATCTATATATTTTTTTATATTTTTTATTTTTATTTTTATTTCACGGTAGCTGTTATGGAAGTCCCAAATCTCATTGTATCTATCACAGAATATAATGACAATAAAGGCTTTTTGACTTTGACTTATATTACTAATTTTTATGTATTTCTTACTGTTTTCAAGGCTGCACTTTAAAATGAAATCGTCTACAGCTGTTTTAAACGAAATTTATTTTTGTTTCCACTCCCGTACAAAATGACCAAATAAATCTGCCTTAGTTACCAGATGTAACTAAATGTAACTAAATGTAGTTAATTGTAACTACATGTAACTAAATGTAGTTAATTGTAACTAAATGTAACTAAATGTAACTAAATGTA